ATATAACAATTATATAAACCATAGTTTAACCACTTATCCCTTAAACCAGGAGATTATTTAGCCATATTAAACCAAACCAAACTAATACCATCTCTATCTGGCACATGATCGAGTAAACCCCATAGTTCCACCGGAAAATTAATTATGCTTGTAGTATAGATCGTGCACCAGATATAGAACGACGCATTATTGCTCCGCCCTTATCAATCTTGATTGGTTGATTGTTGTAAATATGCAACTCACCGATTACTTACATTCCCACGTTTTTTTTTGTGAAAGTATACTCTAGTCGTCTTGAGTAGGACATCGGCTCTAGAATTATATAATTCTAACGGCTCGTCGAACTGCGTTGCTTTCAATTTCTCCAAAAAATAGTAATATACCAAGACCTAGAACTGTCATAACCATACCAACTATGAATTTGTCCGACTCTAACAAACGAAAAGAAGCTGTCATGACGGAGGAGGTACCAGCTAAGAAGACGAAGTTGTCGCGGGGAGCCCGAAAACGCAGAAATATAAGGCTTAAGTGGGAACTCGAACATAAAGAAGCACTCATCGAAGCTGAAACAGACGTGTCGTCGATGGTCATTGACCATAATATAGTATTTGATCCATTAAGGGTATATACTTATTTCTGAAAATTTGTTAATATGTTGTTTAGATAAATACCCTTTCTAGTGAAATTGCTTTTGTGATGGTCGAAAAATTACTCAAGTCATTTGTCACGAGTTTGCTCCGGCAAGTTGTGGAACTGAACGTAGCCATGATCATGATCCTATATTCCATTGGCTTAGTGATTTGATGAGGATAGTTGGTTCGACCCGCAAAAATATGCAATTTCGCGATTATTTTATCCATACGTTTCCAAAACTTCTTCCATGCATTATTAGCCGTGCCAGCTCCGCTGATATATATGTATTGATTCATTTGGTAATATATAGCACCGTACTCAGTTCGCGACTCGTGGGTTATGCACGAAAGATAAGGTTTATTATATTGAGAATGAGTGGAGAAGCGTTCCTCTTTGTGTATCGGATCGAATATCCTCGAAAGAAATCATGACAATTCAAGATGTAAGCACACGTGATTTATTGATCGCGACACTTATTAGAGAAGCTCGGCCTACCACGAATCACCTTGAGATGTTAGAAATACCTCCAAATTTTTTGGCGTTAGTTGAAGATGAAATCATAAACTCCAAAAACGACGACGATGATGATGAAACTAATAAACTCCCGTCTATTGATACGAAGAAACGTTTATGGATCGCTTTTGGTAGGTGGTTGGGTTTAGATAAAAATGGGCCTATTAAAAGAAGGCAAGTGCGACGATATCTTAAATCGAGATGGGTAAAGCTTCGGCATGGTTTAGGGCTCCAAAATAATAAAGATCTGCGAGGGATTTTTGATATCGCAATCATACGTAATATGCAGAAAAGAAAAACCAAACTATCTATGACAGCACAAGATAATTTTAGTTCACTTGACAGATTGAAGGGATTTCGTCACGTTGTGAAACCGGAGTGCATTACAGATATGGATGGTCGAACCTTGATCCATCTTGAACAACTAGACGATCAAATTGCTGTAAAACGGGCGATAGATGCTGTAAATGGATACTATTTCCATACATTAAACAATCCTTCACACCGAAGCGATGGGTTCTGGGAAAACTTTATCGAACATTTTGGGGCGTATACGTTATATAATCTTCTTCCATACACTAGTTCACACACAGCCAGCATACATAACTCTGAACATCAAGAATGCGTTGATAGATTGATTCGTGAGCTGGTACCGTTATCTAGTTGCATCAATCAATTTGTTGAAAAAAATTATGGGGATATGTACACGAAACTAAGCAATTTGTCTTGGGGAGGATTCTCGCCACGTTCATTCGGGATTTTTCCTACGATCGCGATTAATTTTAATACGATCAGTGCCTTCCATTGGGATGAGCACGACGAGCTCAATTCTTTATGTTGCTTAGTTGCCCTTGGTGACTTCGAAGGTGGAGAACTATGTTTTCCTCAACTCGAGATTGTGGTAACACTCCGACCTGGGCAAGTTGTCGCATTTTCCTCACGTCTATTATTGCATGGTAACCTACCCGTCGTGAAAGGAATCCGTCATAGCATCGTTTATTTTGTTCATAGCTTATTCTTCCATAATATGCGTAACTTTTCGTCTATTTACGATGATCTGAAAATGGGAATTGAGAGGGATTCACAGGGATCAATTGTTCCTACAATTCCTCGACAAGACTTGAACAATGCAAATGGATTAAACCGCATAATCAAACTCGACAAGCTGAAAGCCAATCAGCTTCAAGTTCCGCCGTCATCCACTGATTGTAGGAGAGGACATATCGGTAAGTTATTCTGTAATTAGCTATATGGGTTAAAAAATAGATTAATAATGGGTTCTTTTTCTTAGATCTAAGGCGAGCACGTCGCGGATTGAAGGCCGAGGATCCATTACCAGATGGGGTATAATTCGATACTTATATAGCAAAAATTATTATAGATTTAGCGGTTTTAAAATGTAGACTCTTCGAGTCATTGCACAACAATAAATATATCAGATGATCACTGGTTAAATAAAGATTTTCGCATATGCTGTAAACATATCAACCGTGATTATTTTTTTTTCTTGGCAAAAGTGATCGGCGTGACAATTTGTCACGCACTTAGTATATTGTATGTGTAATCAATAATATTCCAGAATAATTTCTTAGCGAAGTGATCTGCGTTCCAAATTGGAATGGAAATTCTAATTAAAAATTAAATAAATCTGCTTTATATAAAAAGTTACTAAAATGCAATCCGAGTTTAATTTATTAAAACAAAGGGTTATTGATCTTGAGGCTGAGAATGCGAAGCTAAAACAAATTATTGAAGAAAATACTAAACGCGAAGCCGAGAACATTAACCTTAAGATGGAACTAGAAAAAAATAAAAAAGATATCACCTATCTCTCAGCTGAAAATTCTGAGCTTAAAATCAAAGTAGCAAAATTAAGCTGTGATTTCGAGGAAATAAAATCAAAGGGAATAATCACTGATTCTCCGGAGCAATTGTCAATTTCCGAGAAAAAGATAGTAAGTGTTTCTACCGAAATGAAAAATTCTAGCGTTACTCCCGAACAAATAGACTTACAAACTGAGGATGTTTCGGCATCAGATATATCCGATAACAGTTCAAATTTTGATGATATTTTCGAGGAAAAGAGCTCCGCTCCTCTCACAAAAGAAATTTCACCACTTAATGAGAATCAACCCGATAAGGAGAAAGTTATTACTCCTGACCCTATAATCGGAATAGATCATAGTTCAACCCAGGTCCAAAAAACTGAATCATCTACAACCTCTTTGTCACAAAATATTGTCGACGATACGGACGAGGCCCTTGATTTTGCAGAAATGAAACATAAAGAACATTTTAGTAAAACGATAATGGAGAGAATTAGGGAAAAAAACTTCGGGATCAAAATTCATCTTTGGGTAGTACTTCATCGGAACCATCCTACGAAAATCAAAATCTGGAATCATCTATAATATCACAATCTATCTCTAATAGTTCTGAGTTATCTTCGGATAATAATTTACCATGTGATTCTGAGTCTAAATCGCCCACTAATGTATCATCTAATCAGAGGCGCGAAGCGCTTTGCTTCGTAAAAATTCCTTATAATCAAAAAGTAGAACAAGGTTTAAGAATCGAGCTATCTAGTTGCACCAAAGATAATAACCACAAGATTAGTAAAGTATCTGATGTTCAAATTTCTGAATTCTCTTTAGATGCGATTTTATCAGGATCTAATAGCGTTACGTCGCAAAATATCGTTGATCTATTTAGGATAGCAATGAAAATTAGACAAAAGGAAAGTTTGTGCTGTTGTGTTTTTTCAAGTGTGTCAATATTGTTTTTATATACTGTTGTGTCTGCTTGTTCTCTGTACTAAAGATTTTGTATATGAAATAGCAGTGTATTTCACTATTGATGGCTATGCTTGGCATGTTGTTCTTGTGTTTAAAGGCTGCTCTAATTATAGCATCCCACTTGTTGTATATGTGTTTTGTTGCTACTATGTCTTGCATGAGATATGTTATAGCTAGGATAGTTACATTATTTATTATATATTTTTGTTGTTTGTTAGTAATGATACATCTTCTTAGTGTGTTCATTGTTGCTTGAATTTTTTGTTTAATTAATTCTAGTTAATGTTTTTTACTTCCTGTTGTTATTATCCATATGTCCAGAAATTTGATAGCTTTAGTTTTTGGTTTTGGAAAGATTTTGTAATCTTACATCTTGATATGCTCTTGTTTTCCAGAGTTGATTGTGATGAGTGCTGCTTTTTCTAGGTTGATTGTGAGATTGGCTATTTTTGTAAAGCTTTCTGTGATTTTGATGATTCTTTGCATATCTTGTCTATTATTTGCAAGCCATACTGTGTTATCCATATATAATATTGATGCAACTTTTGTTATTGTGATTTGCTACTTGCCATGTCTTCTTGTTGGCTCTTGTGTTGTAAAGCAATACTCATGTTTCGATTTTTCAATCTTGTCTATAAGTGAATTGCAATATATTTTCCATAGTAATGAAGATATTGTGTCTCCTTGATCTACTCCCAGGTCAGGTTGGAATGGAGCTGTGAGTCCATGCCATATTATAATGTAATTGTTATGATTTTTGAGCAAGTTCATTATTATATTAATTTTAATTCTATTCATGAATTTTTTTAGCATTTTGTGACTTATTGAATTATATGCCTTGCTAATATCCTGGCTTAGAATCTGCATTTTTTTTTGTTTTCTCTTGTCTTCTCCAGAACATTGTTTATAATGTTAATCAGTTCTTGTATATCACCTCCTGGGAGTCCTGCCCAGTTTTTGTCTAATATGATTGGGTGCTTTGTCATTATCTCTGCTAATCTATTATTAAGCATTTTTGTGAATATCTTCTTAATTGTTTTGAGTAACATGATAGGTCTCACCAGATTAAGATTGTGTTACCAATCTGATTTCTTGGGAATTGGATAGATTATGTTTTTTTGCTATTTCTGGATTTTCTTTTGTTACTAGTATACTGTTGAAAATTTTGAAAATTTTTTCCAGTGTCTTGCCTTCCAAATATTGGATGAGTAGTTACTGATACTTGATTTTTCAGAGGTAAAGTTGTTTAACAAACCTTTGATTATTTCATTAATTTCTGTTGCTTGGATTGTTTCTAAGAATTCTTGGTACTATTCTTGCTTTATGCTTTCTTTGGGTCTATACTTTTGTATCCATGGTGTCTATTCTTCTTGTGGGCTAGAGACATGTATAGCTATGTGTTTCTAGAAATGTGTGCATGCCATCTCTTTTATTTCCTTTGAATTGATAATAATAGTGATTTCTGGTTCTTGTTTTATGATTTTGTTCATTTGAGTTATTGGTCTTGGTTGATTTAAAATTGATGCAATTATTTTCTTTTTGTTCTTTGTGTAGTTTATTTTTCTTTGTTCAATGGTCTTCTTGATTCTCTTTTGTTTTTTTTGTTTATTTGTCATTTTGATTGTTCTTCTAATGATTTTATAGGTTTGTTTGATACCTGCTAGCCATGTGTGTACTTCTTCTGATTTGGGGTTTATATTTTTCTATGGTGAATTTGGTGTATATTGTTTCTCTTTATTTATTTCCTTTACTAGTGCTTTGGTTTTAATTTTTATGGAATCTGTTTTTTGTTTAAAGATGAAGTATTTTCTGGTTAGTATGTTTTATTTTCTGATCACAGTGATTTTTTAATGCTTTGTTATTGTTTGATGAGCTGGGGTTTTCTCTTTTTTGTATTTATTTTTCTTGGAAATGTATTAATGGGCTGCTTTACAGATGATTTTCCAGATTTTGTTTTAAAATTGGTTTAATGTGAATTAATCAGTTTGCTTGTTGACTTTTTTTATTGGATTTTCTCTTATATTTGTTGTTTGTATGCTTTTCATTGTTTTGATGTTGCTCTCTTAGTGTTGAAAATGTTATTTCGATTAAAAGATAATGGTTTCTTTTGTTGGATGGCGACCTTTGTGATTTCTATTTGACATGTTGCAATATTGTTATCGCTGTTTATCAACATGTTTGATGATTCTATATCTGTTTTTATTAGGTTCCAGCTATAGTTGGGAGATATCCAGATGTAATCTATGCATATCTTTGTAATGCACATGTTTGTTCATGTGAATCTTTTACATTCTGACCATATTTTTCAAAAGATGTTAATGTGGCCAAGTTGAATAAGAGCTTTGATTGTTTGCGATATTGGGGGCTAATCTTTACTTGCTAGTTATTTATCTAGTCTAGGATTGTGGAGAGCATTGAAGTTTTCTAGTGTGATTATATTTCATTCTTTCTAATGTTTAATCCAGATTTTCTCTTATATCCAGGTGGTTGTCTTTTGTAGTTCTTGTTGTTCTGTGCTGATATGTATATCCCAATTTGCTTATGTATCTGTGGGCTTTGAAATTTAAGTTAATACATATACCTCTTCCTAATATGGATTCAATTTTGACTATATGGTTTGCAATATCTTCTTTGATTATAATTGCGATTCTGGTACCTTTGTTGTCATTGTTCCATGTTGTATAATATCCTAAGGTTTTTCAGTGTCTATAATTTTTAGAGATGACTTGGGTTTTCATAAGTACTGCTATATCTATCTTTTCCTCTATGCAGTATTATATTCATGTTTCCTTCTTGGTTTGGTTGTTAAATCCTCTGACATTGTTTATTATAATCTTCATGTTTTCAGTTTCTTGTGTTTTTTTGATTTGGTTATTTGTTATGTATTGTATGTATTCTGATGTTCTGTAATAGTTGTAAATGTTTGGATTTGTCTATGTTTTGTGATATTGTATGTTCATTTTCTGTGTTAATGTTGCTGTTTGTGTTTGTGTCTTCTTCTGAATAGCTGTTAATTAATTCATAAAGTGTTGAAAGGTTGTTGGTGATATTTTCTGCATCTGTTGTTATACTTTGATTGTTTCTTATATTATTATTAAGTGGTGGGTTTTTTGTTTCTGTGAATTAGTATATAAACTATGTTGGACAGGTTGTTTATTATTTGATTGGTATTGTTGATAGTTTTATGAATTTGTTTTTGGCATGCTTGTAGATTTGTAATTTTTTGTGATGTTGATGTTTAGGCTTGATTTGCTAATTCTCTAGGGTTCATATTAGCTTCTGTATTTCTGTTTCCATGACTCCTATGCTATCTTTTTCGTAATATTTTAGATTTGTGATTCTTTCTTTTATTTTGATTATTTGTTGTTTAATTTCTTATATGTCTTATTGAATTCATTGCTATAGCTTGAGAATATCTTATATATCTGTGCTTGCAGTAGTGTGTTTTGTATTTTTGTTGGGCTCAGTTTGCTGTTATGCTGCTGCTGTATATGTGCCAGGTTTGGTTCTCCTTATTTTGAGCAAGACGTATTTTCCGATTTCCTGTATTTTTGCTGGTTTGAATTTTTCATAGAGCTTGTCAAACTTTGAAGCATCTCTCAGTTATACTCTAATAATTGATTTCTTCTTTCTTTGGTTGGACATATGGCTGCTAGGAGTATGTCACCATCACAGATTGCATACAGTTTTATGTCTATTTGTGCTCATGTAATCTGTGTTTCTTCAATTGTAAAGTTCTGTTGTGTAGCATTATTGAGATTTGTTGTATTTTCAAAACTGATAACTACAAATCTTTTTCCTTGATATGATCCTCTGCATGGGATGTAATATATTTTGGCCTTATTTGTTAACAAATGATGCATATATCAAATACTGTTATATTGGATAGTAGGTTTGTAAGTTTTATTATGATTTGGCCTCTTTCCTTCATTTGTGCTAAATTCTATTGTATGTTGAAGACACTGACCATGTCTGCCTTGAAGGGGATGCTCTACATATCTATATGAGTTTTTCTTTATTGCTTTTGTCTTCATATGTGATTGTAGCAGTTTGCCACATTTGTTATATGCTCATTAAGATGCTTGTGATTTATATATATTTGACAAAGGTTTGCTGTACTTCTATAAATCTTGCATTAAGGAGAATATCTTATACTCTGATACTATTTTCCTTTTTTAGGCAGAATTAGATGTAAAAACAAATTTCAGATATATATTTTCTAAGTCAAGTAAGTCTATGCTATATGCTTGTACTACTATATGGTGATCTCTGAATGTGGCTGTGATCAGCTCTTGATCTTTTTTTCCTTTATTGCAGATGTTGATAAGTCCTTCAGGGCAGCCTAGTGCCTTGACAATATATCTGATTTTTTTTCCAATTGTGTCTCCTAGAAGTGTTTTTGCTTCGATATCACTTTGTTGCATTGGTATCTATATCTGATGTTTTTGTCGAATAGCAAGTGTGGTCTTGGTTTGTTTCATTGGTGCATGAATTGTTTACCTTTCTCTTGCATGTTCCATGTTTTTATTTGGTGATTGGTCTTCATTTATTCATTTGAGTCATTTATTCTTGTCTATCTATATATGTCTTTTCCTTTATAGTTGTTGCTTACTTGTCCTGTGACTTGTTTTGCTACTGTATCTGTATAAGAATTGATATTTTCTTGCTCATAGATGTTGCTCCAGAGTTCATGCGTGCCAGATTTATATATGCCAAATTCATGTATGCCAGATTCTTTTCTGGTTTTGTTTAGTTCTTCTATAGCCTTGTTGCTGTCTTCTGCATCATGTTGGATCTGTTCTTGTGTTATTGATATTGTTGTTATTGCCAGAAGCTTTTTAGTTTGTTTTTGTTTAGTTGTGTTTAGTTTTCCATTTTTTTCTTCTGTTTGTAATTGTTTCTTTACTGGTTTCTGTGCTGGATATGATGTTATTTCTCTGCTTTTC